CTGTGTTTTCTTTAAATACATGCAAAGCAAATATGTTGACTAGTAGTACTTTATATTTACCGGTAGCATTATCACATATTTTATTACATTTAAAATTCTAACTTTATGCCTAGAAAACGGTTGTAGTCATGAAGCTTATCCTCTACATAATGCAAGCCCAAAATTACAATATATAACATATTACATTTTAAATGTTTCAGTTTTTTCTATATCTACACAAAATTCCTTTTTCTGCACCAGATACTGTACCTTAATTTCTCTTTCAGAATTTCAAATTCACTTTTATATAGACCGCACTTTTCTTGTAGTCTTTTATTTTCTTTTTCACAGTTAATTAGATTTTTCTCTAATATTTCTTCTTCAGCTTGAACCTAAAAAAATAATTTGGTTTAAATGGACATACTAATGTGGTCTTAAGTTTTCGGTATTTTAAACTAAAAATGTAAGTAGTGACTTCAGAAATAAGCAGGAGAATGGACTAAGTATTGCATATGTTTACGTCCCCAGCCTTGTCATGAAAAGGAGCAAAGTGAAATTCCTGGGCAGTAAGAAAGGACGAGAAGGAGGAGGCTACTACTACCTGTCCAGAAACGAAGAGCTTGTGGGCAATAGCACTGTCATCTGAAAGCAAAAGTACTCTGGGCTCATATAGATAAGGCAAGCAACTCATACAGGGATGCTGCATTCAAGTTACTAAAGACTAATTTCAGTGCAAATGTTCCAGAGAAGTAATTTTTGAAATTTTAGTCACAAAATTGTCCCACCAAAATCATAGTCCAAAACGTAAAACAGATATAAGCCAAGCACCCAGGTTGGAGGGATGACAGTAGAGGATTAGGCATATCTTCCCTACTTCCTTTGTTACATCCATCTAACTACAGGGCTCTACTGAGCACAGTCTGAAAATGGTAATCAAAAGGAAAGTATTAAAAAACTGTCTCTTACATTTTCCTCTCTTTTCTCCATTAAAGTCCTCCCTCTCCCCAAGGACAGTCTTCCTGCTAGGTATTCTCCCTCTCCCTACAGATCACCTTATTAAAATTTCCCTTTAAGGTATCCCATTCCTTCTCCAAGCCTTTCAAAACAGTGATCTGATAAACTAATTCACTCTTAAGATTTCGGTATCTAATGAGATCTTAATATTTTACACTGCTAAATGGTATTTACAGTTTTACTGCAAAGGAGTGACCTCTTTGTAAGCAAACAGTATTTTTCTTTGACTCTTCCTCCTTGACTTTAGTACCTGAAATGGTTGGTAAGTTCTCCTCTAAATTCTCTTATTCTTTAACTATCATGGTGGTATTATACTTGATTCTGGCCACTCTTGTTTTCTTTGCTTCTTTTTATTAATTGGTCATTTTTTACTTAGCTCTTCTGTTTTTATATATTTCCTTTGAAAACTTTAACAATTTTCTTGTCTTTCCTTTATTACAACTATGTTATGGGGCACCCTAAGCTTCCAAAATCCATCCCATCTCCCTTGTGTTATAAAAATCACTTTAGTAACATCATAACTTATGAGACCAAAGACATTTAATTCAAACTCCTTCCATTTTTCTTCTTCACTTCACCTAAAACTTTTTCTGTATTTTTATCCACTTTTTTCCCTTAAGAGAAATATCCTATTTCATTTAAAAAATCTCACCTCTGCTCGTAGACTATCGTCTTACATATCCTTCAGACCTCTGTGCCACCTTTCATTTCCCATAATTCCAGCATCCTCAATCTCCCCCTGCTGCTCCCTCCACTGGCTCCTGTCTTTCAAACCTACTAATACATTCAGGATATCCCTACTCCTAAAAACTCTTTTCCTTAACCTAGTTTCTTTCTACCCTTCCACTTTCCCTGCATTTATTTCCTCTTCACTTACCTTATATAAAGTATAGTCTGCAAGATTCCTCTACTGCCTCCCTTCCATTTCTCCCATTTCAGAGGTTGTGTCTTCTGTCCCTACTATTTTAGTAAAGATGCTTTCTACAAAGGATCCAATGACTCCCTGATTATAAACAACAAGGCCCTGTCTTAGTCCTCATTCTTCTTGACCAGTTTGCAACATCTGGCACTGAAAACCACCACTTTCATTTTAAAATACTCTATTGCCTTGGCTTTCCTTATCACACTTTCCTGATTCTCAAACTTTCTTTTTTTTTTTTTGACCGCTAAGGGGATCTTAACCCTTGACTTGGTGTTGTCAGCACCACGCTCAGCCAGTGAGCTCACCGGCCATCCCTATATAGGATCCGAACCCGCAGCCTTGGCGATACCAGCACCACACTCTCCCGAGTGAGCCACAGGGCCGGCCCCTGATTCTCAAACTTTCTGATCACTTCTCACTATCTTTCAAAAGCTACTCTACCTGTTCTTTAATTATCTCCCAGGGTTGTATCTATCATCCTCTTCTCACTCTTCACAAACTCTATCAATATCCAAGGATTCTACCACTTAAGTACTGTCAGTTCTTAAACCTACAGCCCTAGTCCAGATTTCAATGTCTAAAACCAGACCTGTATCTTTGTATTAATGACCATATTCTAAAAATTAAGGTAGACATTATCTACTAGAAACCTATAACTGGTTATCCCACAGACATTTCCAAAACAGAACTCATTATCCTTTTTTGCCCAAATTATCTATTTTGATTCATGATGTAATCATCCACCAATCACTCAAATCAGCAATTTAAAGATATCGTATACTTTTCCCTCTCTCTTTCTGCCTCGTTCTAATAGTATATTCAAACTGTATATTCAAATGGTCACCAGATCCCACTGATTCTCCAACTTTAACATCTCTCATATCTATGTACTCAGCTCCATCATCTTCAATATTCTTGTCTGGTCTCTTAGAGTCAGCTTGACTTGTCTCTAACCTCTCCAATACATCTTCCTATGGATATCACAGTGAGCTTCCTAGAACATAGATTTGATCATTTTCTATGCTTAATACTATTCAGTGATATACCACAATCTTTAAGATACCTTACCAGCTTAAGCATCTCCTACTCTGTGAAGCTTTCTTTGGACTCACCAGAGTTTATTTAACTCCCATCATGCCACCCTATCATACCTATCACTTATTTTCTTTGGACTCACCAGAGTTTATTAAACTCCCATCATGCCACCCTATCATACCTATCACTTATTTTCTTTGGACTCACCAGTGTTTATTAAACTCCCATCATGCCACCCTATCATACCTATCACTTATTTTTATTATACTTCTCATTTTAAAATACTGAAATGATTTGTTTACATTCTTGTCAATCCTACTACACTATAAACTTTTCACAGTAGGTATCATATGTTACATATCACCAAATCTCCCAGAGATTAGCATGTCTTGGCATGTAAAAGGCACTTAATAGTTGTTTAATCATTGAATACCCTTTAGGTATCCACACTCTGAATCTTCTTACTCTACCCTTCTTAAACATTCTTTCCTCTGCACTTCTATCTTTCTGTGAACAGAATCATTAACTTCCTCTGCTTTAATTATTACCTTGAGGTTGAAGCCTCTCATATCAATATCTCTTTACCAGACCTCTCTTCTTAGACATATTTGAATATTCAACTTGTGGCCTTCCTCCCTCCATACAGGTTTTATTACCATGTGGTGTCATTTAATGATGTTAAATGAATGTAATACCGTCACTACATTCCACTTCAAGAAATCCTCCTCTGAGAGGCAGAAGTGAGCCCCTCTTAGTGTGGTAGGTTGAGGGAGACCAGTTGAAGGCTATATAATTTACTTTGCCTTCATTTTTACTTAGGTGATGGGAATAAATTTCCTGCTTTAACTTCTTTAGCTCCAATCTCTGTTCACCCACCCCATCTTTTTCTATATTTCATTCCTTCTCCAATCTCTACTGTTTCTCCTGTTCAGATAAAAAAGTATCTGCTGATAGTAAAAAGATTGGTGAACATCATCCTTAACTAATATTTACAAATTCTTTATTTCAATGATTTTTGTTATGAATATCATAAAAATTACTCTCTGCTTCAACCATAGATAAATATATTCTATTTATGACTACTTTTATTTTTAGAATATGGTCATTAATACAAAACACTGAATTTTCACAACTATCTCTTACCTTTTCCAGTTTTTCAGCTACTTTTTCTTTATATTGTTGGAAAGCTTTACTTAGCTCTTCAGCATTATATAGTGCTTCATTCCTTTGACGTTCAGCTCTAACATTTAAAAAGGAAAAATGAAGAAAAGTAAAGAATGCTCTGCATTTAAATTTAATAAAACTTAAAGTTCCAAAGTAATCTTTATTTAATTATAAGGAATAACTACAGAGAAGTAGATTTCTCAGTACTAAAAAAAAGTATTAGGCTTAAACTGTAAAATGAAGAATAAAGATTATACTACAATAATTTTCTTACTCTATCAATATGAAAAATAACATATAGCACAAAACATGTATAAACATAAACTTTGAAATATACATAAGTTCTTGTGAGTTGGCAATTTTTTTCCTCTATCTGGAAAAGACAGATTAGGGAAGTAGCCTGAGGATGGATGATAAATTTTCAAAGGTTAGGTACCATAGAATCAGTCCACCACTGTCTAGAATATTAAAGATACTCAGTAAATCCTGTGACCTTTGCAAAGGTCAAGTCAACTTTCAAAAACTTATTTCAAAAAACAGTTAACTTTTATTGACACAAAATATAAAAATCTGAACAACAATGAAAAGTCCAGTCACCACCAAGCACTGTTTAAGGCCAACATTGCTGCCTCATCTCTTAGCTGACCCCAACCTTTCCTCATAATTTTCCCATTGAATTGAGAATACTGGGCCAGGACTTGGTCAGTATCACAGCCTCACCTAAAAACTTTTTTATATTTAAACCTATTCGCATCACATTCTTTCTAATGTAAGTGAAGTTAGTGACCCTTCCCTTCTTCAAGGTAAACTACTCTAGGTATACATTGGATTGTAACTCTCCCCTTCAGAAACTCACTCTATCTTCTGTATTTTCAGTCTCTTCTCTTTTGGCTTCTTTGCCACAACTATAAACAAATTCAAGCGAAAGTATCTCTCATTTTCTGAATCTATGTGGTCTTTAACATTGGATAGCAAAGGGCCGGTCCCCGTGGCTCACTCAGGAGAGTGCAGCGCTGATAGCGCCGAGGCCACGGGTTCGGATCCTATATAGGGATGGCCGGTGCGCTCGCTGGCTGAGTGTGGTGCAGACAACACCAGTGCCGAGGGTCGCAATCCCCTTACTGGTCAAAAAGAAAGAAAAAGAAAAAGATTGGATAGCAAATATGGATATCAGGAATGTCTATTTGGCTTCAAAGTTTCACATAAAGAATAGAAAGTTTAGACAATAAGGTACTTCTCTGAAAATTTGTAAGAATATATTCCATTCCTGAGCCTGCATAGCTAGAATTCAGAAAGCAAAACATATGTTTTTCTCACTTAAACAAACAAAAACTTCCCCAGACACTATGCTTTCCTCTATCATTCTTCCTTTTAACCTAAACTTATCCACTTTATACTTACTTACTCTTTCTCACCTCCAACTTTAAAAAGGTCATGACATATTTCAGCCACACAGAAAAACATGGATAAATATATCCACATACCCCCATCCAACTCAACCTTAATGAATTTTAACTCTTTGCCTTCGTGTAGACTTTTTTATTTTAAGCGCACAAAATAGAGTTGAGGTCCCTATCTGTCTCTTCCAAATCCCATTCCCCTCACTTCTTCCACTAACCTGATTTTGGTGTTTTTTATTACCATACATTTTATACACTTACATGTTAACCTATACCCCAATATAGTATATATCGTAGTTCATCTAAGATGCACATTGTTTTCACACTTTCAACATCTCTAAAATTGATATGTATTCTACAATCAATGGTATATCAGTTTCATAGTGATTTTTTTTTCTTAGGGATAAATGAAAAAATAGTGCACCTTAAAATCTGTGTAATCTTACATTCTTTAAGGCTTTAAAAGGAGAGTATGTGAGAGTCTCTCTCTCTCTCTCTCTAACTTTAAAAGACTTGGTATCTGTAGACATGTTCTCCAGCTTAGTCTACAGCTCCTAAATTGCCTTGTCTATTCTTGGACCTTGATTCTTCCATATGATTTTTAGGGTCAGTTCATTAAGTTCCACCAAAAATCCTATTGAGNTTCTTTTTATTAGAGCATCTGATATTAGACATATCTTACTAGCTAGTTAATGTCATACTACAAGGACATTATGTCTGTGTTTTCTTTAAATACATGCAAAGCAAATATGTTGACTAGTAGTACTTTATATTTACCAGTAGCATTATCACATATTTTATTACATTTAAAATTCTAACTTTATGCCTAGAAAACGGTTGTAGTCATGAAGCTTATCCTCTACATAATGCAAGCCCAAAATTACAATATATAACATATTACATTTTAAATGTTTCAGTTTTTTCTATATCTACACAAAATTCCTTTTTCTGCACCAGATACTGTACCTTAATTTCTCTTTCAGAATTTCAAATTCACTTTTATATAGACCGCACTTTTCTTGTAGTCTTTTATTTTCTTTTTCACAGTTAATTAGATTTTTCTCTAATATTTCTTCTTCAGCTTGAACCTAAAAAAATAATTTGGTTTAAATGGACATACTAATGTGGTCTTAAGTTTTCGGTATTTTAAACTAAAAATGTAAGTAGTGACTTCAGAAATAAGCAGGAGAATGGACTAAGTATTGCATATGTTTACGTCCCCAGCCTTGTCATGAAAAGGAGCAAAGTGAAATTCCTGGGCAGTAAGAAAGGACGAGAAGGAGGAGGCTACTACTACCTGTCCAGAAACGAAGAGCTTGTGGGCAATAGCACTGTCATCTGAAAGCAAAAGTACTCTGGGCTCATATAGATAAGGCAAGCAACTCATACAGGGATGCTGCATTCAAGTTACTAAAGACTAATTTCAGTGCAAATGTTCCAGAGAAGTAATTTTTGAAATTTTAGTCACAAAATTGTCCCACCAAAATCATAGTCCAAAACGTAAAACAGATATAAGCCAAGCACCCAGGTTGGAGGGATGACAGTAGAGGATTAGGCATATCTTCCCTACTTCCTTTGTTACATCCATCTAACTACAGGGCTCTACTGAGCACAGTCTGAAAATGGTAATCAAAAGGAAAGTATTAAAAAACTGTCTCTTACATTTTCCTCTCTTTTCTCCATTAAAGTCCTCCCTCTCCCCAAGGACAGTCTTCCTGCTAGGTATTCTCCCTCTCCCTACAGATCACCTTATTAAAATTTCCCTTTAAGGTATCCCATTCCTTCTCCAAGCCTTTCAAAACAGTGATCTGATAAACTAATTCACTCTTAAGATTTCGGTATCTAATGAGATCTTAATATTTTATTTTTTTTTTTTTGACCGCTAAGGGGATCTTAACCCTTGACTTGGTGTTGTCAGCACCACGCTCAGCCAGTGAGCTCACCGGCCATCCCTATATAGGATCTGAACCCGCAGCCTTGGCGATACCAGCACCACACTCTCCCGAGTGAGCCACAGGGCCGGCCCCTGATTCTCAAACTTTCTGATCACTTCTCACTATCTTTCAAAAGCTACTCTACCTGTTCTTTAATTATCTCCCAGGGTTGTATCTATCATCCTCTTCTCACTCTTCACAAACTCTATCAATATCCAAGGATTCTACCACTTAAGTACTGTCAGTTCTTAAACCTACAGCCCTAGTCCAGATTTCAATGTCTAAAACCAGACCTGTATCTTTGTATTAATGACCATATTCTAAAAATTAAGGTAGACATTATCTACTAGAAACCTATAACTGGTTATCCCACAGACATTTCCAAAACAGAACTCATTATCCTTTTTTGCCCAAATTATCTATTTTGATTCATGATGTAATCATCCACCAATCACTCAAATCAGCAATTTAAAGATATCGTATACTTTTCCCTCTCTCTTTCTGCCTCGTTCTAATAGTATATTCAAACTGTATATTCAAATGGTCACCAGATCCCACTGATTCTCCAACTTTAACATCTCTCATATCTATGTACTCAGCTCCATCATCTTCAATATTCTTGTCTGGTCTCTTAGAGTCAGCTTGACTTGTCTCTAACCTCTCCAATACATCTTCCTATGGATATCACAGTGAGCTTCCTAGAACATAGATTTGATCATTTTCTATGCTTAATACTATTCAGTGATATACCACAATCTTTAAGATACCTTACCAGCTTAAGCATCTCCTACTCTGTGAAGCTTTCTTTGGACTCACCAGAGTTTATTTAACTCCCATCATGCCACCCTATCATACCTATCACTTATTTTCTTTGGACTCACCAGAGTTTATTAAACTCCCATCATGCCACCCTATCATACCTATCACTTATTTTCTTTGGACTCACCAGTGTTTATTAAACTCCCATCATGCCACCCTATCATACCTATCACTTATTTTTATTATACTTCTCATTTTAAAATACTGAAATGATTTGTTTACATTCTTGTCAATCCTACTACACTATAAACTTTTCACAGTAGGTATCATATGTTACATATCACCAAATCTCCCAGAGATTAGCATGTCTTGCATATCACCAAATCTCCCAGAGATTTGCATGTAAAAGGCACTTAATAGTTGTTTAATCATTGAATACCCTTTAGGTATCCACACTCTGAATCTTCTTACTCTACCCTTCTTAAACATTCTTTCCTCTGCACTTCTATCTTTCTGTGAACAGAATCATTAACTTCCTCTGCTTTAATTATTACCTTGAGGTTGAAGCCTCTCATATCAATATCTCTTTACCAGACCTCTCTTCTTAGACATATTTGAATATTCAACTTGTGGCCTTCCTCCCTCCATACAGGTTTTATTACCATGTGGTGTCATTTAATGATGTTAAATGAATGTAATACCGTCACTACATTCCACTTCAAGAAATCCTCCTCTGAGAGGCAGAAGTGAGCCCCTCTTAGTGTGGTAGGTTGAGGGAGACCAGTTGAAGGCTATATAATTTACTTTGCCTTCATTTTTACTTAGGTGATGGGAATAAATTTCCTGCTTTAACTTCTTTAGCTCCAATCTCTGTTCACCCACCCCATCTTTTTCTATATTTCATTCCTTCTCCAATCTCTACTGTTTCTCCTGTTCAGATAAAAAAGTATCTGCTGATAGTAAAAAGATTGGTGAACATCATCCTTAACTAATATTTACAAATTCTTTATTTCAATGATTTTTGTTATGAATATCATAAAAATTACTCTCTGCTTCAACCATAGATAAATATATTCTATTTATGACTACTTTTATTTTTAGAATATGGTCATTAATACAAAACACTGAATTTTCACAACTATCTCTTACCTTTTCCAGTTTTTCAGCTACTTTTTCTTTATATTGTTGGAAAGCTTTACTTAGCTCTTCAGCATTATATAGTGCTTCATTCCTTTGACGTTCAGCTCTAACATTTAAAAAGGAAAAATGAAGAAAAGTAAAGAATGCTCTGCATTTAAATTTAATAAAACTTAAAGTTCCAAAGTAATCTTTATTTAATTATAAGGAATAACTACAGAGAAGTAGATTTCTCAGTACTAAAAAAAAGTATTAGGCTTAAACTGTAAAATGAAGAATAAAGATTATACTACAATAATTTTCTTACTCTATCAATATGAAAAATAACATATAGCACAAAACATGTATAAACATAAACTTTGAAATATACATAAGTTCTTGTGAGTTGGCAATTTTTTTCCTCTATCTGGAAAAGACAGATTAGGGAAGTAGCCTGAGGATGGATGATAAATTTTCAAAGGTTAGGTACCATAGAATCAGTCCACCACTGTCTAGAATATTAAAGATACTCAGTAAATCCTGTGACCTTTGCAAAGGTCAAGTCAACTTTCAAAAACTTATTTCAAAAAACAGTTAACTTTTATTGACACAAGATATAAAAATCTGAACAACAATGAAAAGTCCAGTCACCACCAAGCACTGTTTAAGGCCAACATTGCTGCCTCATCTCTTAGCTGACCCCAACCTTTCCTCATAATTTTCCCATTGAATTGAGAATACTGGGCCAGGACTTGGTCAGTATCACAGCCTCACCTAAAAACTTTTTTATATTTAAACCTATTCGCATCACATTCTTTCTAATGTAAGTGAAGTTAGTGACCCTTCCCTTCTTCAAGGTAAACTACTCTAGGTATACATTGGATTGTAACTCTCCCCTTCAGAAACTCACTCTATCTTCTGTATTTTCAGTCTCTTCTCTTTTGGCTTCTTTGCCACAACTATAAACAAATTCAAGCGAAAGTATCTCTCATTTTCTGAATCTATGTGGTCTTTAACATTGGATAGCAAAGGGCCGGTCCCCGTGGCTCACTCAGGAGAGTGCAGCGCTGATAGCGCCGAGGCCACGGGTTCGGATCCTATATAGGGATGGCCGGTGCGCTCGCTGGCTGAGTGTGGTGCAGACAACACCAGTGCCGAGGGTCGCAATCCCCTTACTGGTCAAAAAGAAAGAAAAAGAAAAAGATTGGATAGCAAATATGGATATCAGGAATGTCTATTTGGCTTCAAAGTTTCACATAAAGAATAGAAAGTTTAGACAATAAGGTACTTCTCTGAAAATTTGTAAGAATATATTCCATTCCTGAGCCTGCATAGCTAGAATTCAGAAAGCAAAACATATGTTTTTCTCACTTAAACAAACAAAAACTTCCCCAGACACTATGCTTTCCTCTATCATTCTTCCTTTTAACCTAAACTTATCCACTTTATACTTACTTACTCTTTCTCACCTCCAACTTTAAAAAGGTCATGACATATTTCAGCCACACAGAAAAACATGGATAAATATATCCACATACCCCCATCCAACTCAACCTTAATGAATTTTAACTCTTTGCCTTCGTGTAGACTTTTTTATTTTAAGCGCACAAAATAGAGTTGAGGTCCCTATCTGTCTCTTCCAAATCCCATTCCCCTCACTTCTTCCACTAACCTGATTTTGGTGTTTTTTATTACCATACATTTTATACACTTACATGTTAACCTATACCCCAATATAGTATATATCGTAGTTCATCTAAGATGCACATTGTTTTCACACTTTCAACATCTCTAAAATTGATATGTATTCTACAATCAATGGTATATCAGTTTCATAGTGATTTTTTTTTCTTAGGGATAAATGAAAAAATAGTGCACCTTAAAATCTGTGTAATCTTACATTCTTTAAGGCTTTAAAAGGAGAGTATGTGAGAGTCTCTCTCTCTCTCTCTCTCTCTCTCTCTCTCTCTAACTTTAAAAGACTTGGTATCTGTAGACATGTTCTCCAGCTTAGTCTACAGCTCCTAAATTGCCTTGTCTATTCTTGGACCTTGATTCTTCCATATGATTTTTAGGGTCAGTTCATTAAGTTCCACCAAAAATCCTATTGAGACACTGATTGTAATTGTACTAAATATATAAATTATATTGGGAAAATTTGACACTTTTTTTTGGCAGCTGTCCGGTAAGTGGAACCAAACCCTTGACTTTGATATTACAAGACTGCGCTCTATCCAACTGAGCCAGCGGGAAAACTTGACACTTTTATATTAGGTTCCCTTCTAGAAAAATGGTATGTAGGTCATTATCTAAATCTTTTAAGATGTTCAATAAAGTTGTATAATTTTTTCCTTTGTAGTAAACATGTCTTTTTATTCTGACATTTTAACATCTGTGGTCTTGCTGACCCTAGGAATACTGAACCTCCCAGGGATAGTCAATTCCCAGAGAGAGTGTCCTCACATGGCAGAAGGCAGAAGAGCAAAAAGGGACAAACTTCCTCCATCAAGCACTTTTATAACAGCATTAATCCACTCATGAGAGAAGAGTTCTCATGACCTAAATACCTCCCAAAAGACCCCACCTCCCAACAGTGTTCCATTGGGATCAAGTTTCCAACACAAATTTTAGAGCACACATTCAGATCAATATTCATTCTAGTTCCTCAAAAAGTTACAAGAGTTTTCATATCAAACCTTTACCTAAAGATCTCAACTGGCCATTCATGCTTTCCAGGTTAAATACAAATCCTTTCGTATAATGCAAAAACATTTACAGTCTGAATCTAGCCTGTCTTTCTTACCTCATCTCCTCCTACACCTATCCACTTATGAGTACAGATGTCCCTCAGTATCTGCAAGGAATTGGTTCTGGGAATCCCTGAGGATACCAAAATATGTGGAGTTCTTTATATAAAATGGCATATTATTTGAATATCACCTGTGTACATCTTCCTGTATATGTTAAATTACCTCTAGATTACTTATAATACCTAATACCATGTAAATGCTATGTAAACAAGGTAATAAAGCCTCTATGAGGTAAAATCTGAATGTCTGACTCAAAAATCTAAACATGTTCCACTAAGCATTACTGCCTACAAAATACACTTTGCAGGGCCGGCCCGGTGGCGCACTTGGGAGTGCGGCGGCGCTCCCGCTGAGGGTTCGGATCCCATATAGAGACCGGTCCCATGTTGAGCGCAGTGCGGGCGCGACACCGAGGGTTGCGATCCCGTAGCCAGTCGCGGTACGGAGACCGGTCCACTCACTGGTTGAGCGCGGTGCGGGCGCGACACCGAGGGTTGCGATCCCGTAGCCAGTCGCGGTACGGATGCAACACTGAGGGTTGCGATCCTGTTACCGGTCACGAAAAAAGACAAAAAGGAAAAAAAAAATACACTTTGCAACTTGAACTAGGCTAACCAAATGCTGCTGGAAAAATGTTCTTCTGAACCTATTTAAATGAAAAAAATGATGTATAGATGGGTTTAGAGTGGTTTTTAGAAATGTAAATGCATATGCAAACAAATATTTAACCTATTTATGATCACTTTTAACAAATATTTTCTTTATAACCTAATTCATACCATAGTATAAATCTTAAAAATATTTTTTTGTCGAGGAAGATAAAAATGCACATTATGATTTTACCCTATGTAAAAGCTACTGTAATTATATGTTGTAAAATCTTATTAATTTAAACTCAAAAATGTTAAATCCTTATTAGTTTAAAAGTTAACTGGCATTCAAAGCTCATGGTTCCTTGATCAGAGCTACCTACAAAACTTTATTTCAAGACACAATTTACAAAAAATATTTTAAATTTTACTTATGTATTCCTCATGAATCGAGTATCTTTTTCTATCATATCTATGAGGTAAAACTTTCTTTTGAAGAATTCATGCAACATTTTATTTAATTTTACCAGAGTAATATTAACTTAAAAGTTTTTTCTGTATTCATATTTTGAACTCAATGTACTGGTTTTTAAGTAGGTCATGTAACTCAATTTCAGAAATAAGTAGATACCATTACATTGATGATCATTATCAGTCTTCTAAGAATTAACACCAATCCAGAATGCCAATAGCATAAAATCCACACATGAAAATTTTAATGGAAAATGAAAAAAAAAAAAATTACAGGACAAAAATAACAAGTTATTCTACTGTCCAATTTCTAAAATTTTTTCACTTCAAAAATTAACTAGAATTTTAAATATGTAATGTATCCTTTTATACCCCTCAAAAAAAATATTTGGTTTAAAAATACATACCTTTTTCCTTGTTTACTTTGTTCAAGTAAGTCCACCTTCAACTTTATACATTCCTCCTTGGACTCCTGCAAACTCTTCTCCTTTTCAATCACCATTTTCTGACTCTGCTCTAATTTATCTTCTGCCTCTCTATAAAATAAAAGATATTTTTAAAAGACTATTAAGAGATTATTCTGGGTTTGCAAGAATAATTCAACACTAGAATTCTACTAACATTGAATCAATGAGTTAAGAGAAACAAATATATAACAAAAGACAGAGAAAAAGGCATATTCATCACTTATCAAGAGTTTTTATAAGGAATTAAAGAATATTTCCATCAAATGATAAATATATCTGAAGTTACAACTCGCATCAAATTTCATGGCCAGATACTGGAAGCATTACTATATAATTCAGAAACGATATAAGGATGACTGTTATCCTACCCACATCCAGCAATTTTTCTGACGGTTGTACCCAGTACAAAAAGCAAAAATGAAAAAGTAATAAGAAATATAAATGCTGAAAGGAAAGACAAATTTTTCTTTAATTGCTGATAGTAGCATTAGCTACCTGGAAAACCCAGGAGAACCAAAAAGAAAATAATTAGAATTAATAAGAGTGTGAGAAATAGTCCAATTACAAAACAATTATATTATACAAAAATTAGTAGCCTTCCCATATATTAGCAATAAACTGAATGGAAACAAATTCATTATAACCAAAAATATAAAATACATAGGAATAAATTTTTTTAAATATATGTACTACAAAGAAAACTATAAAACTCCGATGGATATGAAAGACAACTGTAGTGTACACCAGAATCATCTGCAGAACTCGTTAAAACACAAAGTTCTAGGTCCCACCTCCCAAAGTTTGTGATTCAGTAAGCTGAGACAGAACCTAAGAATTTGCATTTCAACAAGTTCCCAGCTGATGCTAATTCTGCTGGTCCCAGAACTATACTTTGAGAATCACTCAAATATAGTAATATGCTTTCTAAATTCTGCTGGTCCCAGAACTATACTTTGAGAATCACTCAAATATAGTAATATGCTTTCTAGTATGCATATGTTTCCCACTGTATTCAGAGCAGAAAAGGAGAATAAATTACAAAGTGCCTAATACCTTGTATTTTATTTCTTGAACTCCCATTGAAGCACTAAATATACACTGTTATGAGTTAATTCATATTTAATAAAAGCACGTAATTAAGCATCTCAGCTTAGATTTAGTCTTTTTAGGCCCTAAATACTGCACACAACCTGCAGCCAAAAGGAGTTACGATTGACTAAAAATAGAGTCAACAAGTTCTAAGGCACCTGAACATTATTAAGTTACTTTAGATTTATTGCAGTGGAAGACAAGATTTAACAAGATGTAACAAAAATTAGAAGTAGGAAATAAAAATTTTAAAGCTATAAAGGTATATTTACCTCAAAACTTTATCTTGGGCTGAAACTTCTGCTTCCAAATTTATAATCTGTTCTTCTAAGACTGGGACATTGGCTGCTTGCTGTTGAGCAGACTCAAGCATAGAAACCTAAAACATGAAAACAACTTTTAGAGTACTTTCTTTGAGAAAATCTACTTGGTCCTTAGTTTTTTTCCTGTCAGATAAAGGGGCTCAATAGGACTCCCAAATCATCGGTCAGGTGTAAAGCTCATCTTATCTATTCCGGCAACGGATCGCAACCCTCAGTGTCGCGCCCGTACCGGACCGAGACCGGCAATGGGATCGCAACCCTCGGTGCTGCACCCGCACCTCGCTCAGCCAGTGAGTGGGAACCGGTCTGTATGTGGGACCCGAACCCTCGGCGGGAGCGCCGCTGCACTCCCAAGCGGCGCACTGTAGCAGTGCGCCACCAGGCCGGCCTTATCTATTCCTTTGATCAACATTTACATGGTCATGTCATCATCACAAGCCATATAAGCTCCTGCCAACATCAACTTAATATCTTAAGTAATTAGCTATTTGGGAAAAAAACAGAATCTCTACTGACACCATCTAGGAAGATTAATCTCACACATATAAGAGAATTAAATATAAAATATCAAACTATAAGAAATTATAAAAGGAAAATACATACATGCTAAACGTTTTATGATTTAAAAATCTAAGTTTAGAATGCATGCTTACTAGAGAAAATCTAGATAATACAGAAATGCAGAGTAATCTTACAACCTGGAAGATAAAGACAATACAACTATTGTAGCAAAATAGGAATCCACAACCTAAATGGTATGGAAGATAGTATCAATAACAGAACTAATTATTCCTGAAAAATAAGTTTAGAACATGGTGACAGGGGTAAGGTCCTGGATGGAAAACTAGGGATACAGGTTAATGTCTCTGCAAGTAACAGTCACCCCTCCTTTTTCCACTCCCAGAATACCAATAGCAAGGTGATGGCCTACCAGAAAGGAGGCAGAAAGCCTACTATCTGAATAAATTGAACAGAAGAGGCTTGTGACTCTGGGACACATTGTGAATGAGAAGGGATGAGGTAGAGCTATAAACAAGGAGATTAAGATAGAACCATCAGCCCCCAGGTTTCTACTCCATTGCATTTACAATTATCCCACAGTTGGGAAATCAAAGGATTCTTTGCTGGAGGCACTCAACAGCTCCAAAGAAAAATTGTCACATACTGATACTAGGGGGCAGATGGGCATTTCCCTACAAAAGAGACACCTCCCCAGCTATCACCCCAAAATGAAGCCCACTGGATAGCAAACCTCAGCAATATACAGAGAGCTTCCAAACAGCATTTAAATACCTTTTTCTTAAATATGAACAGCCAAAACACTAACATCTGAAAAAAGCTTTTAACATGAAAATCAGAGGCCAAAACAAAAGAAAAATGAAGCTGGCAACAAGCAAAGCAAGCAAACAAAAAAATTATTATACCTTCAGAAAGCTAAGAGAGGATACATATCAGGATGTTAATAAATACAAAAGAATCAAAAAACAAGAAAAAGTTTTGGAAAATGAAAAAAGTATAACAGCCAAATAAAAGATTCAGTACAAGTGTGAAAAATAATGTTGAGGGATTCTGCTAAGAATCACAGGGAGACAGATGAAAAAAACAAAAAAAAAAATCTAAAAGATTTAGAGGATTAATCCAGATGGTTGAACATTCACCTAATAGGAAAAATAGAAGAAAGAAAATAGAGGGAAGAAAATTATTAAAAAGATTATGTAAGAAAAATTTCCAGGACCAAAGGACACAAGTTTCCAGCCTGGAAGGTTCCTTACATACCCAACACAAGCAATAGAGGCCTATTCAAAGATTCTTCGTTGTGAAATTTTTAAAAACCAGGGAAAGGACCTGCCACGAGTTGGCGCCAAGTTGGATGCTCTGCTCGTTGAGTGAAGAAAATCCGCCGGCATCGCCTGAGCCCCGCATCCAAGAAGGGCACCGCTTCCCCCGGGGAGGGGGACAAAGACTCTCTGACCCTGGCCCATGAAGATATTGCCGTGAAAGGCTCAGCAGCTGCAGCAGGAACTGGACCAGCACCGGAGCGGTAGCGGTAGTGGCAGCGGCAGCGGCGGTGGCGGCAGCAGCAGCAGCAGCGGTGGTCCCTCCTCACCCAAACATCAGGGCCCTACAGACCCAAGCGCCCCAACATATCAAGCTGAGCTGGAGCCAACGGGTGGCGGCCGCACTCAGACTGGGGACTCCGCACACTGCCTCCGATTCTCCTCTGAGTCTGCCTGCTTTGTTCATTAGACTGCCCAGTGGAACAGAAGATACTCTGCTCATTTCATCTGATCTGTGGACTGTGAAACCCCCAGCCACAATGAACAAACATCAAAGAAAAGATACCGAAAATACGAAAAATCAAGGAAGTACACCACCAAAAGATAATAAATCTCAAGCTCTAGATCCTATAGAACAAGAAGCCCTTGAAAGGACGGACAAGGGATTTCGAGTGATAATTCTAAGGAAACTGACTGAGATACAAGAAAACTCAGCTAGACATCATGATGAAATGAGGAAAAGTATACAGGACCTGAAAGAGGAAATGTACAAGGAAATCAATGCCCTGAAAAAAAATGTAGCAGAACTTGCCGAACTGAAGAAGTTATTCAGTGAAATAAAAAACACAACGGAGAGTTTAACCA